CCATTGGACCAACAGTTTCTACCTTAGTTGGGTAGAGGGTTAGCGGAAGATCTTTCTTTGGGAAGCTGAAAAGCAAAAGGAATTTGGAAAATATTGTAGGTAAAAGTATACAGCTAAACATTTAGTACCTCGCAGCAGTGCTGAAAATGACCCCAACAGACTCCACTGCACTCCAGTCCTGCTCTCCTCAACACCCCTGGAACCATGTACCAGGTCCCAATTGTGCAGAATGAAGTACTGTTGTATCCCATGACACATTTTATGAGATTACTTTTCATTGTAACTTGTGAAAAGACTTGGAAGTCAAAATGTTTAAAAGCTCTCAGACACAATATGATGCTGGATTCCTGGGAAGCATGTATTTAAAGAAACAAGCATATGGTGTCAAAAAAGAAAATACTTTTCTCAGGATGGTCATAAGAAACACTATGTAATGAACAATATTAATAAAATGAAAAGAGGCATTTCATGATCATTTCAATTGATGCTGAGAAAATATTTGACAAAATCCAATACCCTTTCACATTAAAAACATTCAAAATCAAGCTGGGTGGCCTACACCCTAGAACATGGAAGATGGAGGCAGGAGGATCAGGAGTTCAAGATCATCCTCAGCTACACAGTGTGTTCTAGACCAGATTAAGCTACGTGAGACTGTGTCTCCAAAATCCAAATAAGTAAATTGAAAATACATAATAAACAATAAAAATAATAAGAATATAAGAGAACTTTCTCAACCGGATAAAGAGTCTGAGGAAAGTTCAGCCCTAACACTACCTAATTTTGAAGGACTGAAAGCTTTCTAAGATCAGTAACAAAGCAAAGATATATGCTTTTGCCACTCGGCAGAGAAAGTTCTTGTCAGAAATGAGACAAGAAAAAGAGAAAAATTCTATTTGGAAAGGAAGATGTAAAAAACACTCTTCACAAATGGCCTGACTATATATGTATTACATATTTTTATATATGTGTATATGTCTAAAATACTGAAAAAATAACCCCACTTAAGCTAAAACAGAATTAAGCAAATTTTCAGGATACAAGATATTACCTGTGAAAATCCATTCTAGTTCTGTACACTAGTGTGCAAGCCTGCCACAGCATCCATTCCCAAAAACTGAAATTAGATCAGGGGACTCTCAGCATTTGTCCACTCAAGAGTGCTTTCACTGCCCTCTTGAGAGTCTTTATTGGGAGCTCAGCATTTGAAGTTCACACAGGATTTACATATGATAAGGCCGTGGAGACTGGCCCAGTAACAGACCTCCTTTGATATATGCAGAACATAAAAGAGGGGTGGGGTGCTACCCATGCCCTGGCACTCCACGTACAGCTGTCTAATTCGTCTTCTTTCCAGCATCCTAGGAGCAGATTGCCCCCTCCTCAAGCCTCTATGTCAACAAAGTCTAAAGACGCCTGTTAACTGTTAGTGAGTAGAGCACTATTGTCTTTAAGGGATGGGGGTGCGGGAGTAGCTACACAGGAGCAAGAAAAATAAACCAAAACCAAAGAAGAAAATAATTCCATTTACAACAGCATAAATAAGAACAAAATAGAAGTGTTTTTAATGGAGACACAAAGCTTGTATAGTGAAGGTTACAAAAATTGTTTAAAGAACAACCAAAGAATGGAAAGGTATTCCGTTTTTATGGATTACAAGACAGATTCCTAAAACTGCATACTCCCCCAAAGTGATCTATAAATTCCATGCAATGCCTATTCAACTTCCAAGGGGCTTTGTTGTAGAAATGGAAGTAAGCGGTTAACCCAGTTTTGGAGCTAAACTGTAAAACTACAACAGACCCAGAAGAGTCAAGACGATCTTGAAAAAGTAAAACGCACTATAAAGCTACAGATACCACAGGGTGGTACACAGACCAATGAAATAGAATTCAGACTAGACAAACAAGTGCCTATGGCCAATTGCGTTTCAACAGACTCCAACCATTTAATGAAGAAGAATAAACTCTTCAAGTGCTGCTGGGACACCCAGAAAGAATGACATTGGATACTGTGTTTTACCGCATATAAAAACTGAGTCAAAAGGGGATCAGTAAACTAGATATAAAACAATAAAGCTATTGGAAGAAAGCATAGTGGTTAATCCTTGACCTCTAATTCTGCCTGGACTTATTTGGGGGGCGGTTAGGAATATTTTTTTGAGACAGGGTCTCCCTGGAGCCCCAGCTGGCCTGGAACTCACTATGTACACCAGGATGGCCTTGAACTCACAGAGATCTGCCTGCCTCTGCCTCCCAAGTGCTGGGATTAAAGGTGTTTGCCACCACACCTGGCTGGAAAAACTATTTTTGTTCCTTATAAAGTTAAAAAAATTTCTTGATAGTGGCCTTTAATAAATACACATGAACACATACACATACAATACCAAATACAGGAATTTCATCTGAAACATCCACAGAAGGCTGACATGGTAAAGTCTTGGTTGCCAGCTGATGGACTTTGGAAAAGTCACTGGATTGTGAGGACTTTGAATTCATCAGTGGATCAGTCTATCATCCATCACCATTTAATGGTGGTATTGGGAGGTGCTGGAACCTGGGAAGTGGGCTTGGATGGAGGAAGTAGTTGAGTGACAGTATGCCTTTGAAGGGAAGATCTTGTCCCCAGGCCTTTCTGCTCTCTCCACTTCCCATCTGACATGAGGAGAGTAGCTGTGTGCTGCCGTCCTCCCACCACCATGACGTTCTGCTTCATTACAAGCCCAGAACCAACCAGCCAGGGGTGGAAACCTCTAACCATGAGCCAAAATCAGCTTTTTCTGAAGTTGGTTTTCTCAGTATTTTGTCACAGCAACAAAATATGGTTAGCATGACCCAAGAAAAGTGAAAATCTACATCCACACTGGAACCTGTACAAGATGCTTGCCAGTAGCATTACCCATAAGTCAGAACAATCAAAAGGTGGAAAACACCCAGATACTGATCAACAGATGAGTTGGGAAAAAACAGCATGAAAAAGAATAAAGATTTGATGCGGGGCTGGAGACATGGCTCAGTGGTTAAGAACACTGGTTGTTCTTGCAGAAGACCTGGGTTTGAATCCCAGCACCCACATGGCAGCTAACAACTGTCCGTAACTCCAGTTCCAGAGGATCTGACAGCCTCTTCTGTCCTCCGCGGGCATTGACAACACAGGTGCACTTACCTACACTCAGGTAATACACACATACACACGAAATAAAAATAATAAATAAAATATTTAAAAGACTTGATGTGAGGACTCAGAAGATCCTTACCAATAAAAGGCCAAACCCAAGAGATCAGTGAATGTTAGTTTCATATATTTAATCCCTTTTATAAACTACACAGAGTAGACAAGTCCATAGAGACATAGACTTGTCATTACCAGGAAATGGGTGGAGCAGCAATGGGCAGTGATTATTTAATGGATAATGGTGTATTTATCTGAGACAATGAAAAGGTTTTGAGGGGACTAGAGAGATGGCTCAGCAGCTAAGAGCACTTGCTTGCCTAATGTGGTGGCATAAGGACTTCAGTCTCAGCACTCAAGAGGTAGAGGCTGGCCCATGTCTTTAATTCCAGCATTTGGGAGGCTGAGGCCGAAGGATCTTTGTGAGTTCAAGGCCAGCCTGGTCTACATAGTGAGTTCCAGGTCTGTCAGGCCTACATAATGAGACTCTGTCTCAAAACAAAGCAAACACCCACCCCCCCCCCAAAAAAAACCATTAAAAAAAAAAAAACTTGCTGCTCCTTCAGAGGACCCACATGGATGCTCACAACTGTTTGTAGCTCCACTGCCACAGGGCCTGACACCCTCTTACGGCCTCCTCAGGCACCAGGCATACAGGTGGTGCACATACATACTTGCAAGGGGCCACCCAGAGGGGCTTCATTTGGAATGGGAATGGCTGTCAACCGCAGGTCACCGATTCCTTCCTGCAGCTAAGCTTGACACCACAACCTTTTCCTGTTGCAGTGTCAACTGCAAGCCCAGCAAGCGCTGGGAGGCCCCAGAGTCACTTCTGGTGTCTCCTAGGCCTAGGGGGTGGTGTTCCTGCTCCAGGCACTGGCCAGGCCTGGGTGGGGGTCGGGGAATGTGGGGAGGATGGTAGGGGGAAGGTGGGGGAGAGATGGGGGGTGTCATGGGGTGGTTTCATGTAGCCCAGACTAGCCTCAAATGTCCCATGTAGCTCAGGCTGGCCTTGAATTCCAGATCCTCTTGCCTATACCTCCCTAGTGGTAGAATTATGGCCATACGCCACCTTACCTCAATTTCAAATCACATACTTGTAAAGATCCAGTTGCCAGAATTTAGGGAATTCTTACAGCCTTGCAATAAAAGGCTGAGCATTTGAAAAGGGTTGAGTATTTGAATGGCCATTTCTCTAAAGATAGTATGAAAATGACCCCAAAATGTATGAAAACATAGGAGAAATGGTATCAGGCACTAGGGAAATTCAAATGAGAAGCCATTTCACACCCACTGGGGTGGATATAATTAGTCTTTGTTGTTAATTTTTTATTTATTTTTATTATTTTTGTATGCATATGTGTAATGCCTGAATGTGCGTAAGCACACCGGTGTCGGTGCCTGGATTTGAACTCAGGTCCTCTGCAAGAGCAGCCTGTGCTCTTAACCGATGAGCCATCTCGCCAGCCCCCCATTCTGTCTTTGTCTTCAAGTCTGGAGGCCAGAAACGTCTTAAAGCCATGAAAGCAGCTACATGCATTAAACCATGTGGCCTCTTTGGGAGGGAGAGAAGGGAGGGAAGAGAATATACTCAGGGCAGAAGCTCTGAACATTTGAGGTACAGGCCTAGAAGAGCATCTCATAGGGATGGACTGGGCTCTCCTGGTCTAGTTTGAGTGTGTGCAGCTTCCTGAGGGTGGTGAGAGTAGGGAGGGGAAGGCAGGGGCATGAAGCAGGTATTTGTAATCAAGAATGAAGATTATTGGTATCTTTTGGCACCTGTGAGGCAAAGCTAATCTCATTGCCTCTGTGTTTCTCCCCTAACTCAGGCTTTTCAGAACTCTGCTTATCCAAAAGAATCCTTCCTAAAGGAGACTGACCAGTTCCTGTGATTCTAAAACCATGGCCCATGTAAGCTGCTATTATTCCTTCCTTTCTGGGCTGTTTTTTTTTTTTTTTTTCAGTGCTGGGGGATTGAACCCAAAGCCTTGCCCTTGCTGGCTCTGCCACTGAGCCACACCCCTCCAGAACCCTGAGATTCTTTATAATTGGATTCCAGGAAGCTGAGGCAGGAGGAGGCCAGCCTAGACTACATAATGAGACTCTGTCACAAAACAAAACAAAAACACAAGAATTCTCATTATTTCTTGGGCATGGTGGTACACACCTTTAATCCCAGCACTCAGGAGGCAGAGACAGGTGGATCTCTGTGAGTTACAGGCCAGCCTGGTCTACACAGTGAGTTCTAGGCCAGCCGGGGCTACATAGTGAGACTCTATCTGAGAAAAAAAAAAAAGAATTTTCATTATTTATGTTGATTATGCTATCTAATGGAATTTTGTCTTAATCCTTAAGCACCCCCAGGCCTCAGCCTCCTAAATGCTGGGATTACATGCATGAACCACCATGCCTGGGTAAAAAAATTCTTTAATTTTATGCAAACCTGTTAGTCTATGAAAGATTTTCTATAGCAAATTCCAAATTTTTTAATTAAAGCAAAAATAATGTATTTGCTTATGTCAGATATTTGAGAAACTGCCAGGGTGTGATGGCACACGCCTTTAGTCCCAACACTCAGGAGGCAGAGGCAGGAGAATCTCTGTGAGTTCAAGTCCAGCCTGGTCTACATAGGGAGTTCCAGGCCAGTTGCTACTACAGGGAGACCCTGTCTCAAAAAGACAAAAAAAATCGAGAAACTCTATGTTTCTGGAAATGTTTGAGTAGTTTTTAGAAATCCCACAATATGTGGGAAATTTTACATATGGCTACTGGATTCTTCTAGAAAATGATGTCTTTGTTCCTGTCTACCCCTCTGTCATGGTCTGCCCCAGCCTACATTTTGGTATCTGCCCTCTTGCAGCAATGAAAGTGCTCATCCCTTCTCTTTGGCATACATGGTCTATAATCTCACCAGTAATTTGTCGGCTTATGGTTTCAGGTATTAGTGACATTCAGGGATGTGATTATAGACTTCTCTCTGGAGGAGTGGGAGTACCTAGACAATGCTCAGAGGGACTTGTACAGAGATGTGATGTTGGAGAACTACAGCAACTTGATCTCACTGGGTAAGGTGGTCTACCTCAAATAATTTACACTCTGTTGCCTGAAATATGAGCATTCTCTTTTATGAATCCAGGACTGTGCTGGTATTAAAGTTGTGTGCCAACCATGCCCAGCCCTCAGGCACAATTTTTAAGAAACTAGATGGACATTTAAGAAACAGCTGAGGGATGTAGCTTGGTGGTAGAGTGCTTGACCAGAATGCATGAGGTCCTAGGTTCAAAAACCAATAATGGGGCTGGAAATATGGCTCAGCAGTTAAGAGCACTGGCTACTATAGCAAAGGACCTGGGTTCGATTCCCAGCACCTACATGGTGGCTAACAATGGTCCCTAACTCCAGTTCTAGGGAATCTGACTCTCTTCTGGCCTCCACTGGCATTGCATGACACAGGTGCACTTACATACATGCAGGTGATACACTCATACACTAAATAATAATAGTTAATGGGATGCTTACTGTATACCAGACTCTGTTCTGATTTCGGGGGGGGGTGTTGTTGTTTGTTTTGTTTTGTTTTTATACTACTGAGGATGGAACCCAGGCCTCAAGCTTAACCACTGAGCAACTGTGTCAGCTCCACACCAATGAATTCAGGTGCTGTCCCACTAAGTCAGGCAGGCCTTCAGTCCCTCTCTGTTTTAAATTCTAGAGTTATCCATTGCATAGGTCCTATTTTGTCCATAACCTAACAGTAAGAGTTCCCTCAATCTCATCTGATAGGTAATGATTTTTATTTTCATTTTACAGGTAAGAAAATTGAGAAGCACAGAATTGATGTGATTTATTTACAACTATGAATCAGGGCCTGGCATGGTAGCACACACCTTTAATCCCAGTACACAGGAGACAGAGGCAGGTGGATCTTTGAGTTCAAGGCCAGCCTGGTCTATATAGTGAGTTCCAGGCCAGCTGGGGCTACAGAGAGACCCTGTCCCAAAGAGGCAAAAAGAAAAAAAAAAACTCAAAAAAACAACAAGTATGAATCAATAGATAGCTGAGCAGAATTTGAACTCATACAATCTGGCCAGGAATCTGAGCTGTCTGTCCATCATTCCAGCTGTTCAACAGAAAGCCTGTCTAAGATTTTATTTTTTAATTTTTAAAGGTTTATTTATTTGGGGGGCTGGAGAGATGGCTCAGCAGTTAAGAACACTGACTGTTCTTGCAGAAGACCCGGGTTCGAATCCCAGCACCCACATAGCAGCTATCAACTGTCTGTAACTCCAGTTCCAGGGGATCTGACACCCTCTTCTGTCCTCTGAGGGCATTGCACAACACAGGTGCACTTACCTACGTGCAGGCAATACACACATACAAATAAAATAAAAATAAATATTTTTTAAGATTTATTTTATGTGCATGTGTGTGTGTGTGCCTGAGTGTGTGTATGTGTGCCACCTGTGTGTGAATGGAGGCCAGAGGAAGGTGTCAGATCTCCTGGAACTAGAGTTACAGATCCAGGTGAGTCACCTGGATGTGGGTGCTGGGAACTGAACCTGGGTCCTCTGGAAGAGCAGCAAGTGTTCTTAACCACAGCCATCTCTCCAGCCCCATTGCCTGAGTTTTAATTCCAAATTGAGATTTTTTTCCCCTGCTCATCAACTTTCTAAATTGTCTTAATTTGTATGTTCAATCTTAGTTTTGTCTGAAGCAGCTATTGATGTTATATAGATCAATAGCTTTTAGTAAATGTGAGCAAATCTCAATGTGCTTTGAACTTACCATGTTTTATTTCTTTTTTAAATATTTTACTTAGTAATTTATTTTATGTGTATGAGTATATTGCCTGCATTTATGTAAGTGCAATGCCTGAGAAGACCAGAAGAAGGCATCAAATTCCGGTGGAACTGGAGCTATAGATGATTGTTAACCACCGTGTGGGTGCTGGGAATTGAACCCTGGTCCTCTGCAAGAACAGTCAGTGCTCTTGACCGCTGAGCCATCTCTCCAGCCCCAACAATGTTTTATTTCTAAAGCTGATTGTATGTCTTTCTTCTGAGCAGGATATTCAGCCCCAAAGCCGAGTGTGATCGCCCTCCTGCAACAAGGCAAAGAGCCCTTTATGGTGGTGAAGGGCATGTCAGAAGGACAGGGTCCAGGTAAGTGAGGACTCAGCAGGCAAGCAGACGTCCATTATCAGCAAAGGCCAGCAGACATCAGCATTGCCATCAGAGGTCAGCTGGTCAGGACAGAGGCATAGAGCCTAAAACAGAGAGGGAACAGACTTTCTTAGTGCAGACTACTGCGAGAGCGTTACCATGGCTCCCAGCTATCAAGTGTTTGTCTTTCCTGTCTGGTATTGCTCTCTCAGTCCAACACAGCACACCTTGATGCTCTCTGTCTTTCTGCATTTTCTGTGTGCTTACTCTAACACCAGAAAGTTCATCCTTTCATTTGTTCAGCATATATTTACTGAGCCTGCAGTGGGAAGCCAGAACTGTACTGTATATTAGCAGTATTTTGGTGTTTCAGGCTAAAACCTCCTCATGCTCTTGGAGCTGACATAGTAGACTGGGAGACAAGCAGTAAATTGTAAACTAATGGATAGATAATGTAAAGTTAAAAATGATGTGTGCAGCCGGGCGTGGTGGCATATGCCTTTAAACTCAGAACTCAGGAGGCAGAGGCAGGTGGATCTCTGTGAGTCCAAGGTCAGCCTGATCTACATAGCGAGTTCCAGGCCAGCTGGGGCTACAGGGAGACCCTGTCTCAAAAAAAGACTCCCCCAAAAAATGATGTGTGCTATGAAGGAAAGATGAAGAGTAAGGACATGGAATTTGGAGACTGGCAAGATTGCTCAGTGGGCAAAGACCCCTGCCACCAACTGGATGACCCGAGTTTGATCCCCAGAATGCACATGATGGAGAAAAAGAGCCAACTCCCAAAGATTGTCCTCTGACCACCACATATGCTCCAGGGTACCTGTGCTCTGCCCCACTGCACACACACACACACAAAATGAATAAATAATTAATTTTAAAGGAGATGAAGGGCTAGAGAGATGATTTAGCAGGTAAGAGCTCATTCTGCTCTTGCAGAGGTTTCAAATTTGGTTCCCAGCACCCATGTCAGATAGCTTAGAACCACTTGTAACTCCAGCTCTAGAGGGATCTGACAACCTCTGGCCTCTGTGGGCATATACCTCCCCCCCAACAGAAACATAATTTTAAAAATGTTAAAGGAGATGGAATTTGGGCCTAGATAATTTAGACAGGTAGGCTTTTCTAAGAAGGGGATATTTGTGCATAAAAACAAAATAAAAGCTTGGGCCCTGTGTATACCTGGAAGAAATTCATTATAGTGAAGGGAACAGTGCACTTTGTGCTTCTGAGGAACAGCCAGAGCTCAGAGCAGATCTCAAGGGGGAGAATACTAAATGAAGTTTAGAGTTGAACATAACTTGTTTTCCTAGTGAGAAATTTGGATTTTTTTTTCCTTTTGAAGTGGTCAGTGACCACTCTAAAGGCCATGTGGAGAATCTATTAAAAGGGGGAGGAGCAGAGGCAGAACTATCAGCTGACAGGCCATTTGGGGGTCAAGATAGCGATGGTAGTTGCTTGGATCAGAATAAGAGCGACGAAGGGAAGAGAGAAGATGCTGTGATTGTCATATTTTGAAAGTAGAGGTGGGCACTCAGGAGGCAGAGGCAGGTAGGTCTTTGTGAGTTCAAGACCAGCCTGGTCTACATAGCGTTCTAGACCAGTTGGGGTTGCATAATGAAACGCTGGTCACACCGCATCTGTAGTCAGGAAAGAGACGAGTCCCGGTGCTTAGCTCCACTTCTCCTTTTTGTGCCCTCTGGGACCTTTGCCCAGGGAATAGTGTCATCACATGTAGGGTGGGTCTCATTACCTCAGTTAACCTAATCTAGAAGAATCCATCCTAGACCTGTCCAGAGGTTTGTCTCTTTCATAATTCCCGATCCCATCAAGTTGATGATACAGCAGAGATCAGGGTCCCCTCTTGGGGTTCTTACTCTCATGAATGAAATCATTTTAAGAATAGACCCAAATGGAAATTTGGTGTGTGAGCACATTGCCTGCATGTGTGTAAGTGCACCGATGTTGTGCAATGCCCACAGAGTCAGAAGAGGGTGTTGGATCCCATGGAACTGGAATTACAAACAATTGTTAGCCACGTGTGGGTACTGGGAATGGAACTCGGGTCCTCTGCAAAAGCAGCCAGTGCTCTTAACCACTAAGCCATCTCTCCATTTCAGCTTTTGAGGAACCTCATACTGCTTTCCATAGTGTCTAGACTCATTGATATTCTTACCAGCAGTGTATAATGGTTTCCTTTCTTCCACATCCTCATCAGCATTTGTTATTTGGGCTTATTTTTTTTTTTATGCCATTCTGACTGAGGTGAGATGGAGTCTCAGTGTAGTTTTAATTTGCATTTCCCTGCAACTTGTTTTCATTCATACTTCATTGTTTGACAACTGTTCAATAGTCCATTTATTGGTTGAGTTTGGTTTCCTGATACTTAATTTTCTTAGTGCATCATTTTGTATAATACTGGCTATAAGTTTGTCATACATTACCTTTATTATAAAGCTGTATATTCCTTGTACTCCTGGCTTCTTCAGTGCTTTTGTCATGAAGGAATTTTGTCAAAAGCTTTTTCTGCATCTATTAAGATGACCGACCATATATGATTTTTGTCCTTGAGATGATTTATATATTACATGCATCCATTAATGTATGTTGAAACATCATTGCGCCACTGAAATTAAGCCAACTTGATCACAGTGGATGAGCTTTTTCATGTTCTCGAATTTTCATTCGTAAATTTTTTTTTTTTTTTTTTGGTCTTTTTGAGACAAGGTCTTCCTGTAGCCACAGCTGGCCTGGATTCACTAATGAAGACCAGGCTGCTCTTGAACTCAGAGATCCACGTGCCTCTGCCTCCGGAGTGCTGGGATTAAAGGTGTGCACCACCACGCCTGGCTCATTCGTAAATATTTTATTGAGAATATTTGCATCTATGATCGTCCAGAAGTTTGATCTATAATCTTTTTGCTGTTGTGTGTCTTTATGCAGTTTGAGTATCAGAATACTTTGTAACTTTGTAAAAGGAGTTCGGAAGCATTCCTTCACTGTCTATTTTATGAACTAGTTTAAGGAGCACTATTATAAATAATAAAAAGATAACACAGAAGTTTAAAAAAATGATTCAGGCCAGGTATGGTGGCTCACATCTTTAATCTCAACACTTGGGAGGCAGAGGCAGGTGGATCTCTGTGAGTTCGAGTCCAGCCTGGTCTATATAGTGAGTTCCAGGCCAGCCAGGGATACATAATGAGATCCTGTCTCAAGAAGACAAGAACAAACAAACAAGAAAGAATGATTCAGCAAAACAAGGAACGGCTTTTTTTTTTTTCTTTTATGCATTTAACTGTGCGATCTTGGATTTACTTTTGTTCTCATCCATCAAGAAGTTAAGAAAGTGCATTTGATCACACAGTAAGGTACAGGGGATTAGGTGTAAGAATTATTTGTAATTCTTTCAAAATTACAAAAATTAAGTGATTTGGGACTGGAGAGATGCTCAGTGGTTAAGAGCACTGGCTGCTCTTGCAGAGGACCCAGATTTGGAACAGCACTCACCCACATGGTGGCTAACAGTAGTCCATAACTCCAGTTCCAGGGGACTCAATGCCCTCTTCTGACCTCTGCAGGCATTGCACAACATGGGTGCACTTACATGCATGCATGCGATGCACTCATACACATAAAAACAATAAAATATTTTAAAAATTAAATTATTTAACAATATTCAGTATGTTACTGTGTTGAGAGGGACCTCCCCCGCACACCCCATGATGGGGGCTGAGGAGGGGGAGTGCGCTGCCGTCCCAACCCTCCGTTCCCGAGAGACCACCAAGGAGGCAGGGAGTCTGTCTTGCAGGATCTCATTTATTAAACTTTAAGCAAGTGTTTATATACCTTTATAAGCATTGAGTGTCCTTCCCCTCTTTTTCCCAGAATATGACTGGTTATGATCATAGAACCCAATTAGCATCTTAGGTTTCAGTTTCCCAGATCTGCCAGGTTACCTGGCAGACCCAAGAGTGGAAATCCCCTTCCCAACAGTGTCCAACCATTTTAAAGGTCAACTTGAGTATGCAATTTCTTCTTCATTGCAAAGCATAGTGTCCACGAGGTGATCACGCTGGCTAGAGCCAATCAGCGACTCTTCCAGCAAGTCTGGTCATGTCCCAGCCGATTTCCTTAGGCATCAAACAAGTTTGGTGATGTCCCAGTCTCAGGTCTCAGGTCCCTACACTCTGTGACCTTTTTTTTTTTTAACTATTCAAGTATCATAATTTCATTTCTTTTTTTCTTTTTTGAGGGGTGGGAATAGGAATGAAACAAGGTCTCACTACATAGCACAGGCTGGCCGCAAACACACAATCACCCTGCCTCTGCCTTCCAAGTGCTGGGATTACAGATGTGCACCAGCAAGCCATAGTGTTATGGACTAGGCTGGTGGCACCCGCCTTCATCCCGGCACCTGGGAGGTGGAGGCAGGTGGATCTCTGTGAGTTCAAAGCTCCTGGCAAAACAAGGAGAATGAAAAGTCAGTGATCAATTCATTCTGCAGCTAATTGACACCTGCTGTGTACTAGTGGGAGTTATTCGTTGCTAAAAGAAATCGGGATTCTGTCTCCTTTTGGGAAGGTGTATGAACCAGAAAATAAAACAGAAGGGTGAAGAGAAAGATGAACATGCATGTGAACATTGTAACATGAAGGAGAGAAACATGGTGGGATTGAGAATCAAGTACATGGACTGACTTTTAACCCTCAAGGGCAAGCCTTTCTGAGTAAAAGATGCTTGACCTGTGATGAAAAGTGAGAGGACTCAGCCTTTTGTAGAGCCCAGAGAAAGATTGTGATGTACTCTGGAGGCTAAGAAGAAGCAAGTGTCACATAAGAGAGGACATTATATTTGAAGGAGATCTTTAGCTTTGTGCTATTCAGTTCTTTGTTGCTGTGACAAAATTCCTGAGAGAAACAACTTAACAGGAGGAAAAGATATACCCTTCAAAATAGAGGCCCTAGTGAACCACTTCCTCCAAGGAGTCCCTACCCTATAATAGTCCATTCAGCTACAAAGTCATCAGTGGACTAATCCTTCTTCACTTCCCCGCACCACCATCTGAACACTGGGTCTTTACCACATGAGCCTACACAAAACTCTTTTTTGTCCTTTTGAGGCAGGGTCTCCCTGTAGCCCCAGCTGGCCTAGAACTTGCTGTGTAGACCAGGCTGGCCCTGAACTCAGAGATCCACCTGCCTCTGCCTCCCAAATGCTGGGATTAAAGGCATGCATCACCATGCCTGGCCAGAAAACATTTCATATGCAAATCATAACATGCTACTATTCTGAGAACAAAATAAAACTCTCAAAATTGTTAAAGGATTCTCAATTTTTTAATCTGTATGAGTGCTTTTCGGACTTTTTTCTACTTATGGACCCTTTTTCCCCTAAGAAATTTACATGTGATTCCAGGTATATAGGTACATAAAGTAAATATTTCTTGATAATAAACAATAAAGAAATTTATTTATTAGTTCTATTTTATATGTGTAAGTGTATTGCCACTTTTATGTAAGTGCACCCATGTCATGCAGTGCCCATAGAGGTCAGAAGAGGGTGTCAGATCCCCTGGAACTGGAGTTACAGATGGTTGTTAGCTGCCATGTGGATGCTGGGAATTGAACCTGGGTCCTCTGCTAAAGTGGAAAGTGTATTTGCATACTAATGAAATGGATATGCTTGCTTGTTTAACACATTATAATCCAAAAATACACTAATTCAATACTGAGGAATGATAGAGAAATATTTATAGTTCTTTGTTTTCTATTATTGAACCATTTATTTGTATAAGAGCAGAACACTTGTATATGCAGTAAAAACACTGTAATTCATAACACACAGCAGTCTTGAATCTGAGCTGAGGTGTTTCAGGGGCTGTTCATTAGCACTGTGTGGCATAACATGGACTGTATAGAGTATACAGGTTGTGGCGTATTCAGAACCAAAGTGGCAGTACATGGCAACATGATACAGCACAGGTGAGCCCTGCCAGAAACACCTCAGATTCATTGTTTGATTTTTAATTAATTTTTTGTGGTTGTACATTAGGAAAACTTTTACTATTGCCATTTTTTTTGATTCCCCATATTTAGTTATGTGACCCCCCCCACACACATTTAAGAAATTTTTATCTATACCAGAATCATCTAATGGAGTTATTAAAAATTCAGATTCCAAATGGCTCCATTTGTCAGGGTGGTGGCATATGCCTTTAATCCCAGCACTCGGGAGGCAGAGGCAGGTGGAGCTCTGTGAGATCGAGGCCAGCCTGGTCTGCATAGCAAGTTCTAGGCCAGCTGGAGCTGCAAGGAGACTCTGTCTCAAAAAATACTAAAAACAAAAAACCAAAAAAAACCAGAAAAACCTTATATGACTCTGGTTGATTTGATTCGTATACTGGAGAGTCATTCCAGAACAGTAGTATTTGGGTTTTTTTAAATTAAATTAAATTTAATTAATTAATTAATTTATTTATTTATTTACTTTTTTTTGGTGTTTTTGAGACAGGGTCTCCCTATAGCCCAACTGTCCTGGAACTCACTATGTAGACCAGGCTGGCCTTGAACTCACAGAGATCCACCTGCCTCTGCCTCTCCCGGGTGCTGGGATTAAAGGTGTGCATCACCACACCTGGCTTAAATTTTATTTTTTGTGTATGAGTGTACTGCCTGCATGTGTTAAGTGCACCCACGTCATACAATGCCCACAGAGGTCAGAAGAAGGAGTAAGATCCCCTGGAACTAGAGTTATGGATGGATGTAAGCTGTCATGTGGGTGCTGGAATTCGAACCCTAGTCTTCTGCAAGAACAGCCTGTGCTCTTAATTGCTGAGCCATCTCTCCAGCCCAGAACAGCATTTGTAGGAAGTTGCCCAGATAATTGTGCTATTTGCTATGTTACCACAGACTTACATAATCTTTCATTCTCAAAGCTCATATTGCCTGATTTGAAACAGAACTACACTGTAAAGTTCTGTAAGCCATTGACTTTTTTTCTGAGATAAAAGCTCTATGTTTTGTTGACTGTGAGAAAATAAACTTTGCTTATTTGTTTTCTTTCAGGTTTGTTCCCCAGACATAAGACAAAGAAATTATCTTCAGGCAAAGATAGTTTTCAAATCAATTTACCCAAATTGGAGATAATAGAAAGAAATAAGACTCTTGTTCTTAGAGAACCTATTTCAAGAACCGAGGAGCAGAACAAAAGTGAGTTTAATGATCAACAGGGACTTCAAGAAAAGTATGTCACGCAAATGAAAATCATCAGTCAGAAAACACCAGAATCTAGAAAGCATCCATCTTTGAATCAAAGAATTCATAATTGTGAGGACCCTTCTGAAGATGATGGATATGAGGAAACCTTTAGTTGTGAATCCAACTTGGTTCAACATGACAAATTTCATTCCACGGAGAAACATGATTGTCAAGAATGTGGGAAGACTTTTAATAGTGCCTATCAACTTACTCTACATCAGAAAATCCATACTGGTGAAATACCCTACGAATGCAAGGATTGTGGAAAGTGCTTTAGTTATAAGTATCAGTTCATTCTGCATCAGAGAGACCATTCAGATGAGAAAGCACATAAATGCCAGGAATGTGGGAAGAGCTTTAGTCTTTATTCAGAACTTGATCAACATCAGATAAATCATACAGGTGAGAAACCCCGCAGATGTAAAGAATGTGGCAAAGGTCTTTTCAGTAATTTAGACCTTATTGAGTATGAAAGAAATCATAGTGATGAGAAACCTTATGAATGTAAAGAATGTGGAAAGTCTTTTCAACTTCATGTCAACCTTACAGAGCATCAGAAAATTCATACAGCTGAGAAACCCTACAAATGTAAGGCATGTGGGGAAACATTTAATGAATGTGACCAACTTACTCATCATCAGAAAATTCATACTGGTACAAAACCTTATGAATGTAAGGACTGTGGAAAGGTTTTCACACTTAGTTTTCAACTTACTGAACACAGAAAAATACATGAAGATAAGAAACCTTATGAATGTAAGGAATGTGGAAAAACCTTTAAGCTAGCTAAACAGCTTAATCAGCATCAAACAGTTCATACTGGCATAAAACGGTTTAAATGTAAGGAATGTGGAAAGTGTTTTGGTTATAGCAGTGACTTTTCAATACACCGTAGAATTCATACCGGTGAAAAACCGTATGAATGTAAGGAATGTGGGAAAACCTTCAATGTGAGTAAACGCCTTAAAGAGCACAAAATAGTTCATACTGGTATAAAACGATATAAATGCAAAGTATGTGGGAAAACTTTTGGTCATAGTGGTGACCTCACAGTACACCTTAGAATTCATACTGGTGAGAAACCATATGACTGTAAAGAATGTGGAAAAGCCTTTACTCTTCGTACAGCCCTTACTGAACACCAGAGAATTCATTCTGGTGTAAAGCCTTACGAGTGTAAGGAATGTGGGAAGACCTTTAGAGGACGCTCTCAAATTAGTCTACATAAGAAACTGCATAGTAATGTGAAGCCCTACAAATGTACAAAATGTGAGAAGACTTTCCGATTTGGTTTCTATCTTAGTGAACATGAGAGAATTCACACTGGCGAAAAGCCGTATAAATGTAAGGAATGTGGAAAGGCTTTTATTCGTAGAGGAAATCTTAAAGAACATTTAAAAACTCATTCTGGTATAAAACCCTATGAATGTAAAGAATGTGGGAAAACTTTTAGCTGGCGAGGTCAGTTCACTCAGCATCAGAAAATTCATACGGGTGAAAAGCCCTACAAATGTAAGGACTGTGAGAAGGCCTTTAACCGTAGTGGAGATCTTAAGATACATCAAAGAACTCATACTGGGGAGAAACCCTATGAGTGTAAACAATGTGGGAAGGCCTTTAGACTTAATTCACACCTAAATGAACATCAGAGAATTCATACTGGTGAGAAACCTTATGAGTGTAAGGTATGTAAGAAGGCCTTTAGACAACGTTCACATCTTTATCAACATCAGAAATCCCATCAGGAAACTTAAAGCTGCCCCGTGTGTGTTCTACTTACAGAATAAAAAAGAAAAGTTCATGCAAATCATATACAAATCATGTGTAAATGTATGCAAATTTGCATAACTTTAGAAAAAAAAATTGTCTTTTTTTTTTTTCCTAAGTTTATTCAACACAAAATATTCTTCTCGAACTTCACTGAGGTGGCTGACCACATCCACAACCAAACCAGGCTCGGAACTGGAATTCAGTTGTGAAGCCAGCCCCAGGCTTGGCTTTCTTGTCAGCACCAGGGGGCACAGCACTCATTCTGTAGATGTCTCTGTTGGCCTCCCCTCTTATGAATCTTGCGAGTTGCTCACACTCTGGACCTTTAGGCCGAGGCCTGCTAATCTCTGGGCAGCTGCTTCACAGGGTGGCAGGCACAATCTCAGGAGGGAGGTGGAGGTAATCTCAGAGATACTGGATACCCTGTTGGTGAGGTACCAGTAGAAATGTCTCCAGGCAAACTCCTTCACATAGCCTGGAGACTTGAGAGACTGCATAGCCTTCATGACATGAAGGTTGGGCACATTCTTGTCTGCCAGCTCTGGGTGTTTGGGCATATGGACATCTTTCTTGGCTACCATCACTCCCTCTTTAAAAAGGAGTTCATAGGGCAATCTGGTTCTTCTTGGGCACCAACCCCATAGTGGCTGCAGGCCTTTTTTTTTGTCTTTTTGAGACGGTCTCCCTGTACCCCCAGCTGGCCTGGAACTCACTCTGCAGACCAGGCTGGCCTTGAACTCACAGAGATCCAGCCTCCTCTGCCTCTGGAGTGCTGGGATTAAAAGTGTGTGACACCACATCTGGCAAAATAACTTTTTCATTTTAAGGACTTATCAATTCTAATTTGTAGTCTACAAATTCTCTTGGGATGGCTCTATCCCCTGTTGCCTGCTCAACTAATCTGCCTGTCTCTGCCTCCTGAGTGCTGGGATTAAAGGTGTGTGCCACCACACCCTGCTGTGAGGAAATTTTTTTTTAACAATGGCATATAATATCACCATTGGAATTAATATCCTATATTTATATGTTAAAGCCCAAATCCCAATGTGATAATATTTGAGATTAACTCCCATATATATATAAAGGCCAAAGGGGCTGAAGAGATAGTGCTCAGTCTGTCAAGAGTGCTTACTGCTCTTGCAGAGAACCCGAGTTTGGCTCCCAGCACCAACTTTGGGTGACTCATCACCTCCTGTAACTCCAGCTGCAGGGGATCCAAAGTCATCTGGCATCTGCTGGCACCCACACATGTGCACACACACATACACATACATACACATAAATTTAAAAAAAAATATCTTTTTTAAAAGAGACCAAAGAGATAGCTAGATTGCTTTTGTTCTTTTCTTTTTTCTTTCTTGGTTTGAGATAGGCTTGTGACACGTAGCTCAAGCTAGCCTCAAACTCTCTGTGGAGCCCATACTAAATAGTCCTCCTGCCCCAGCCTGCCAAGTGCTGAGATTATATGCATGCGGTACCTAACGCCTGGGACTTTTGTCTTCTTTCATGAAGATATAAGGAGTCAGCCTCACAGAAAAGGGCCTGCTCCAGAATCCAAGTGGGCTGGTACTCTGATCTTTGACTTCTAGTGTCCAGAGCATGAGGAAAAAATTTCTGTTGCTTTTAAGACATAAAATCCATTGTATTTAGTTATAGCCACTTAAACTAAGACAATATATTAGAATACAAAGCTTGTAAACACCTGCCATTCAGGCTTCCCCACTTAAATTTGCCAGAAAAGTTAGAAACCTAAGGATTTAGTCAGTGGGAGGATGTTAAAGGATATAGTTGTAGAGCATCATTGAGTGACATGAAGAAATTTACCTATGATACTGTGGACATTAAAAGGCTAACAAAGACATCTAGAAAAAGTTCCTGACAGGCACATAGAATGCATCACATTTAACACTTTACCAATATTTAAAAATTTACACTGAGCCGGGCATGGTGGGGCACACCTTTAATCCCAGCACTTGGGAGGCAGAGGCAGGTGGATCTCTGTGAGTTTGAGACCAGCCTGGTCTACATAGTGAGTTCCAAGCCAGCTGGGGCTACATGGAAACCCTGTCTCACAAAGACCAAAAAAAAAAGTTTACACTATGTTAATTTTGTATAAAAATATTTGTTTTTGCTATACCATTGGAAAGCACAGGAATGTATTCAATGGTAGAGCTCTTGCCTAGCAGGTGTGAAGCCCTGGGTTTAGTCTCTAGCACCACACAAAAAAGAGCTATTTTTCCATTTGAGAGTATGCTATAAACATCTTGTAATTTTACCCCTAAATAAATCAGTTTGTATCTCCTAAAAGTTAGGGTATTACATATTACCAAAATGCTATACTTATACCTTAAAATGAATTATTCTGTAAAATCGTGTTGCATCCAGTCTATTTTGAAACTTCCTAATTATTCCAACAATATATTCGATAGACATTTAACAAGGGTTTGTCCACTAGGATCATGCGTTCATTACAATTTGGTTTTTCTGTCACTTTGAAACCAAATAGCCTGAATAACCCTGTTTCATGATACTGGAGTTTTGAAGAGTCCACCACTATTGTCTTAGAATATCCCAGATTCTGGATCCATCTAGTTATTTCCTCATAGCTTGGTCTTTTGTCTTCAAAAGAACTTCTAACATAAGTCAATGCTTGGTATGCTCCTGGCTGAACACTTTAGCTGGAACACTTTGCACTGGTGCAGTTCATGAGCACAGGAAATGTAGAGTGCCAGGTGGTTTCTTTATGAGTGATGCTAAATCTGATCACTGACTGAGATTGTCAATACTAACCTCTCTGTTACAGACTAAGTTTCTTTGCAATCAATAATTGGGTGATAATCTACACCTACTCTTGGATTTTATAGTAACCTGAATCACAGATTAATTTAAAAACCAAAATATAAATTTATGAGCTGGGAGAGAGCTCATTGGTAGACCACTTGCCTAGAGTCCACCAGCGAAGGGCATTGGGGTGCTTACTTCGAATGTGCAGAGCCCTGGGTTCCACTCCCAGCACTGATGTAAACAGGTACATCTCTCCTGAAAGGAGTGATAAGATGTCTAGGTCTTAAAATTTGTGGGGTAGGGCTAAAAGTGTACTTGGTGAGAACCTGACATTCTTAATGTATAGACACCACAACTGAAGGGTAGGATGTTTTGTTCTCTGTATCCTCAGCCTCTGCTGTGATGCCTGTCATGTAGTAGGTACTTGATAAAAGATTTGGGGAAAAGAAAAAGTAATCAGTTAAGATCCTTTGTATAAAAAAAGGTACAAAATAAAGTGAATGCCGAAAAATGGATTTCATGAGATTAATATTAGAAATTAAGTAATAAAATTAGATTGATAGACTTATCCAGTTTCCAATTTGATAAAAAGAAGAAAAAAAGATGACATATAGCTACAGCGTCACAAATAAGAGCTATTACCACAATGGCTCCCACCTTTTTAATGACATATTACTACAATACATATGAAATTCCAGATCTCATGAATTTTCTAGAATATGTGCTTTATTGAAATTGACACAGCGTGACCAACCCTGAATTGGCCAGGAAATAACTAAAAAGCTTACACTTAACCCAAGAACTTCCCTCATATTCAATGGCACAGTCTGTTTAGCACAATCTGTTTCTAGTTGGATAAAAAAATCCCAGGGTCAGCCTGACCAGATTTTTCCCATTTCATGTTACATAGTTAACATAATCCAACTGATAAGATTGGAGTATAATAATGAAAAAGCAAAAGCTAAATGTGTTCTAATTAAAAATAAAAATAAGGAGCTGGAGAGATAGCTTAGTGGTTCAGTTCCCAGCACCCACATGGAGGCTAGCAACCATCTGTAACTACAGTTCCAGGGGATCTAGCAACCTCTTCTGGCCTCGGTGAGCATTGCATGCATGTGGTGCACCTACACGCATACAGGAAAAACATTAATACACATAAAAATTTTAAAAATACTGGGCCTGGAGAGATGGTCAGCAGTTAAGAGCACTGACTGCTCTTGCAGAGGACCTGGGTTCGATTCCCAGCACCCACATGGCGGCTATGAACCATCCTTAACTCTAGTTCCAGGGAAGCTCTCATTTGACCTCCATGGCATTGCACGACATGAGTGCACTCACATACATGTAGGCAATATACTCATATACATAAAATAAAAATAATAAGGGCTGGAGAGATGGCTCAGTGGTTAAGAACACTGGTTGTTCTTGCAGACTACCAGGGTTTGACTCCCAGCAGCTAACAACTGTAACTCCAGTCCCAGGGGATCCAACAGTCTTCTGACCTCTGCCAGCATTGTATGACACGGTGCACTTACCTACATGCAGGCAATACACGCACTCACATTAAAAAAAAAAAAAAAGGCATGTGCCACCATGCTTGGCTTCATGCACATAAATTCTTAAAAAAATAATCCAACTTCTAGGGTTGCCACAAGATATCCTATGCATCTAATTATTCACACACACAAAATTAAGCACACAAACAAGTGTAGCCCAGAGCTGGGGATAAAGTAGAAAGTAGCTTAGGAAACACATTTAGCTGGAAGTGGTGACTCACGCCTTTAATCACAGCACTGGGGAGACAGAGACATGGATCTCTGTGAGTCCAAGGCCAGCCCAGGCTACTACATAGAGAGCTCCTGGCTATCCAGGGCTATATAGTGAGACCCTGTCTGGAAAAAAAAACACCACACTGATTAGAGTTACTAGAGAATGTATATAAAAGAAATATGTAAGCCAGGTGTGGTGGCACACACTTGTAATCCCAGCACTTGGGAGGCAGAGAATGGAGGATCAGGTGTTCAATGCCATCCTTAGCTATACAGTGAGTTCTAGACCAGCCTAGGCTACATGAGACTCTCATCAAAAAACAAAACAAAATCATTAAGACGTTCAATGCCATCCTTGGCTACATTGTGAGTTCTGGGTCAACCTGGGCTATGCGCGATGCTGCGTCAATAAAACTTGCCACCACGCCTGAAAACCTGGGTTCAA